TGAAGAAGGCGAACCGATTCAAAGTGTTGCGTGAAAGCATCGACGAGAAAGGTGCTTTGAAAGAGCATGAGCAGAAGGCGCGAGTTCAAGCCATGCTTTAGGGTTTAGGGTTTAGGGTTAGAAACCCTCACAAACCCGACCCCACCGATCGATCTGAACCTTTCTATAAAGCTTTGCCCCAAAACCCTAGGCCCTCGACCTGAAACTATCCCTCAGCCTTTCAAGCTTTGCCCTTCCAGGTCAAGTTCAGTGGCCGGATTCGAAGCAAGGCTGCGGCTGACGCCGTGAAGCCAACCTTGGAAGGCTTTGCGGATGATCTCAGCAAAAGCGCTGCGATCTTGAATGGGCAAGGTGTCTTGAAAATGCCGAAGAGGAAGAAGGTGCTGACCGAAGAGGAACAGGTGACCAAAGACTTGACAACGCTCTTCAAGAAGCCACTTGCCCTAACCATGGTTAAGATTTAAGCCTAGGCGACAGGAGTCCAGATCCCGAAACCAGAAACCCCCACTCCTAAACCTTAAGCCCCAAACCCTAAGCCCCAAAACCCAGGCTTCTGGCGGACGAGCAAAAGATCAAGTGCTTGCTGGGGGACCTGACGAAGGTCCCTTTCTCCTCCGAGCTCTCCGAGTCCTTGCAGACGCTCAAGCTTGATATCAAGGCTATCATGACAACCCTCAATGAGGACACGACTGTGCAGGACTGCACCATACAGATGAAGAAGGATGCTATGGCCAAATGCAACCGGTCCATGAAACCACTTCTGGACGCGATTAAGGAAGGCAACCGCAGGGTTCGGGGTGCAGGTTTCAAGCCCAGCAAGGGGCTCGACACAGAAAGCGCATCTGAGAAGTAAGCAGCTTGCATCATGACCTACAGGGTTTCGGGTTTAGGGCTAGAATTTCCTATATTAAATTAAAGTCTTCGAAGATGAGCTTTCCATCCCGGCCGTTGCTTGAACCCAGCTTGATTTAAAGTGCAGCCTGATCTATGCCACGCGGCTGCGAAATTTGTGTTATTGCAATAGTGTGGGATGTGGCATGTGTGACAAAGGAACTCCATATAGCCCTGCTCAATACTCCTCACCTCTCACACGTGCTGTGTCTCATTCTAGCTAGAGCTGCGACTGTAGTATGATCTACTTGGCGCGCTCGAACTGGGGTAGGACTAGACATGCGTGCCTTCAGCAGCGGCTCGCCAAAATCTAGCGATCCCAAAGTTTCGCCTGGGCTTGCATGCATGCTTGGCGTGCTGATTGCAAATCTCTGGCAGCCATGATTGGGATTCTGTTGCCGAAATAAACTTCGGGAAACATGATTTGCAGAGTGTTGCTCAAATCCCAGATTGTCAAGGATCCGTTTTGTCTCGGGCTTTACAATGAAAGTACCGGTTTTGGAGAGTGCTGCTGAAATCCCACATAGACAAGGACCAGGATCTTTTGTCTGAAGTTTTGGGTGTAGGGTTTAGGTTAATAATGTTCCAACTGTACAATCATCCTACATGCCCCAATCCTCGAACCTAGATGTTAATCCAAAACCCCGCTAATCAAGGAATGCCTATATAGATATATTGGATTTGGGTACAATTTTGAGGCCTCAAAGCGCAAACCATTTCTAGTGCGATGCTCGCATCACGCACATGTGCGCGGATGGACTGGTCATGTGATGCTCTTGCAAATGTTTACTGGAGATTCGGCGCCGGAAAAGTTTGGATTCTTGCGTGCACTAGTAATCCTGAAACCTGCGTGTCTGACCGCCCTTCTACAATACCTGATAATTCATAATTCCCCAAGCCGACCCTAGCAGCCCCAGCATCCGAACAGCTAAGTTGCGCTACTCTGGCAAGCACAACCTGCTCCTGACCATCGGGTTACTGGTTCTGCTGGGAGCCGCCACTTGTCTTCAACTGTACTCTGTTAAACCAAACGTAATCCCTGAAGCGTACACCCTTATCCCTCAAAGCGCCGCTTGGCTTCTAAACCCTAAACCCTAAACCCTAAATTCCAAACCCCAAACCCTAACCCTAAACTTTAAACCCTAAAACCCTAAACCCTAAATTTAAACCCTAAACCTATATATGTGGTCAACGCAGCGCCATATGGATTCTTTCAGACACCGCCACGGGTACCGTTGCCTACCTGCAATATCAAAAACCCAATCCTGAATCCCAAACCCTTTAAAATACCTGTAGCATAAAGGCTATGTAAAGACCCAAAAATTTCAGGGGCCCGCTCCTGTACAGTTCCTACAATAAGTCACATTTTGGGGCGGGGGGCTTCCTCTACAATTCTTACATAGCGAATACACCGAATATGTGGCCTACGTATAGATACTTTAGGACCACTTGGGCACATTCGGAACCCAGACCCGAAACCCTCAATCCTAAATCCCAATACCCTACAATCCGGCAAACCTTAGCAAGCCCTTACAAATCTCGACCGACCTTCATCTGACGTACCATGCGCCTTGAACTAGAAATCTGCCCTGCGCGCAACCTCCCACAGAAACCTTCCCATCTCTGAAGCCCGTGCAGAACTACACGCTAATGGAAAGTCAAGCCGATGCCCAAATGACCCTTCTCCAGAATTCAGGCTTAAAGCATGGATCTGCTAGTGGAGTTGATGGATCTGGCCCACGACTTATCCGCCGCCAAAATCAAAAAAATGGTGGATGCTATCTCAAATAACATCCCTGGCTACTTTCTCCCGTGCCTGGGATTAATTAATATAGGCCTGGGGTTTAGGGTTTGGGGTTCCACTTTGCTAAGGTCTAGCCTACGAGACCTTGCCGGCTACTCCTCCGACTCCAATATCTACAGAAATTTTATTCGCTGGCTAGATAGACAATCATGGAGGAAAGTCTTGCCGCCGCCTCGAGAGAATCTGAGCAGCATATTCCAGAGGTCCACGTATCACCGGGAATGTGCAGCAACCTGCCGCGCTAAGGATTGAGTGTCTCTTATTGGACAAGAAATTGGCCAAGGACAAGCAGATTCATCTGGGCAAATGGCACATAATCCTGCCGCATGAATCGCCACTAGCGCACGCAAGCATTAGACTCTGCTGGACCGTGCATGCATGAGTGTCGGGGTAGAATATTTGGCTGCCCTACCCAAGGTTCAGCTCAATCTACAAATTTTCGATGCGAGAATTCCAGAAGCGCTTCTGTGGAGACCCGGGCGCGCCTCGCTCAAATCAATTCGGATGTGTGCGCATCAGTGCAACCTGGGATGCATGGCAAATAAGGACATCGAAAATTATTGGGACAACACGAGAGATACCGAGCCGCT